GAAATATATATATTGAAACATCACGTAGCGTCTATTAAACCAACAAAGAGTATATTTATCGTAATCTATACAGTATTTGTCTGTGAAATCGATACGTAAAATTTGCATTTAAAATTACAGCTTGCAGAGTCCACGATTTGCATATGTAAATAGATAAAAAGTGACACAGCAACACAAGGAATGAATAAAAAAAAAAAAATTTATTAGCATTTAACTATGAAATGTCGGCAACGTCGAGGATGATTGGAAAAATTACTTAAAATAGAATATTGTACTCAATTTAGCGCAGAATTTTTCTTATTCCTATTTCTTGCAAAATAGATATTTACGATTCGAGCTTCGAAGCTGCAATCTTCGCGGGTACACAACTTTGTTGCCGCTAGTAAACTCTTTCTCCTTCTTTCTCTTTAGAGCGCACGAAGGAGCGTCATTACGGTTAACCGGAACTTTTAACAGTTAACACTGTGACGTGTACACTCGTTGGATTTTCCGCAGCGGGTGCATACGCGCGTGTCCTCCCAATTTTGTTGCAGCCGAACCGAGCCGGGACGATCCGCGAGCGCATCCGCGACACGTACGCGAGTTGATTGACGCGCGAATACGTGTCCGGCGTAATGCGACTCGCGAACAAGGTTGCGAACGAACACGTACGTGCGGTGCGACGATGACGAGAACGACAACGGGCCCCGATGTGTGCCAAGGCGAGAGATACATCGAGGTTCCGTTGGAAAACGCGCGGATTTCACGACTCCGCGCGTGTACACAATGTCCTGCGTACACGCTACCAGCAATTCCAATACATTCGGAAAATATTCCTCGCGAAATATAGAGCCGATGATGTTTACGGACCCGTACGATTTGACGGTTGAAATTTTTAATACCTCGCCGATTAAAATGACAATTAAAATTCTGCGAACTTCGAGCAAAAGCCCGCTTGAATTCGAGCGAACGATGAGTTTACTATTTCGATTATTTCAAACGTTTCAAAAGGCAGAATATTAAAAATGCGCGACATTAAGGCTCGGTTTTTCCAGTTGACTTATATATAGTTTAGACTTCACCTCACTTGATGATAATGTAAAAATTGTGTTTTTTTTTAGCTATGATAGATGACTAAACTGATGGTATGGTAGTGATAACTTTAAAAGTTAACTCATTACAAAATTATCACCTTAGTCATACCATGCACTCTAAATAATATTGGTGTTAATTTTAAGACTATACAGTATATCTATATAATTCTCACTGTTAATGTTAATAATAATTGTTTTCCATTTTTAACACAAGTAATACTGAGTCTAAAGTTATGACTCAGTGAGCATTTTATACTATAACAACGTCATTATTATACTTGCTTATTTTTTTGATAAAATTGTAACACACAGGTTTATAACCTCACTTTTAATATAAGTTAAAGCCGCAGCACAGACTTTGCGTAACACGTAAAGCACAAGAGAATCAACTAAACAGAATCCTTCTTTTCATATTCTGATTAGTTGACTCTGTTACAGGCTTTCTACAATTCAACCCATTACTTAAGCTTTAAGCCGTAGAAAATTGACCAATCAGTCGATTATTCTCCTCATATTTGACTGTGATTGGTCATTTTCTTGCGGCTTAAGACTTAAGCTTAGGTAATGACTTATTATAGAAAGCCCATTATGATTTAAGTGTTATACAGTGTTATGTAAAAGCCTGTGCTGCGGCCTTTAAGAAGAGCTCAATAAACAATAAAGTTCACGGTCTAGAACTTGTGCGTATTATAAAAACTTAATTCAATGAGCTTGTCTATCTTACTCGTCGGAATGAGATGGAACGTGCATTGAACTGAGTTGTAACGTTATAAATGAGAATTATCTGAATTTTAGTGTAAATGGAAAGCAACTATTAACACCAACATAGGAAGAACTAAAAATAAAAAAAAAATATGGATTCTTTATGTTTAACAATTCGAAATTAGAGCTAATAGGAATCGTCACTATAATTAGTGTTTTACGTTAACTTTACATTAATACAAAAAAACTAAATTTAACCTTTAGGTGAATAAGTCTCTTTCTCTCTCATAAGAGTATAAATAATATAAATTTAACTCTATGTACGCTATTAAAAATATAACTATAAAGATAAAATTTGTTTGAGGTGTTTTGAATATCTCATCTATCTATTTAAAGTTTAACCGATGTTTGAAAATTCATGTTTTAGTCATATAATAATAATCTATTTTGTCATATGATAACACATGATAATAAGAATTATATATGTTGATGTGAATGTAATACCGCATAAATCCATACCAACATTTTTTAGAGTATAACTAGAAAAATACCATTTTTACATTATCATCACGTTAACCACAAATTAACGAGAAAATGAAAAACTGGATTTGAAAAGTGTATGTTCTCAAGGCAAGCACGGCGGTCGTAGTTAGATAAGATCCAGTTTTTCAGGGAAAAATTTGTCATGCACACCCAATAAGAAAAGCCATCCGACGTTCGTCGTGTCCGGTCGACCGTAAAATACGATAACGTTGGTAGATCTCTTCGAGGGAAAATAATGCACAACTTTTGATGGCTGTGGATCGGGGGAATGAAACCCGCACGAGACGAGATTTATTTATGGCGCTCTGCCGTATCTCTCAAACGATATTTTTCGCTTCGCGTTTATTTTCAGATATACATATGCGCGTAACGCTCGCGCGGAGGTTCGCGACAGAAACCAAAGCTCGTATTTTACAATAACGTTCCCGTCGCGTTCGAGAAGCGGATTTATTTATTCAAGTGTCACGGCGATAGTCTACCCCGACATAGAATAAAACGGAAGCAAATACGTAAAGCACGTCAAGGCGATATTGATTCTTTGAAATGTCTTTCAGTTCAATTTACGAATAGATAAGATAAGGAGGAATTTTTGCAACTAATTCAATTTCAATTACAATATTTTACCAATCTTAGATACTTTGATAAAAATAGAAAAATATGGTATTCTACTACGTTTTGTAGAATCATCAATCATATTTAAAAAAAAATATACTACTGCAGGAAATGGCATTCTTTCATTTGCATTTGAAATCACTCATTTTTATTTGAATAAATTTACCTTGTTAACGATCCATTATTTTATTAACTGCATGTCATGAGTTTCTAATGTAACACTTTAAGTATTTTTTTCCTCCATGTAATCTCCCTTTTTTTTTTCAAGCAAAACTTTTTCCGATGCACGCAGCGGAACGCAGTATTGGCGCATGCACGCGCGTTCATCATGCAGACTATCGGTTCGCATTCTATGCATATGAACTTATGTAATTGATTTCGTGTCAGCTCTCATCTCACCGCGCCGCAAGCAAGTTAGGTGCGTACGAGCGTTACGCGTCGCCGCCGACGAGACGAAGATACCGATCGAAGGAGGGGCTGCTCGAGCTCGTGGCGACTAACGAGCTGCCGGAAATCAACATTACATATCCGGCCGGAATGCGTCGTGTAAGAGATAAAAAGAATTCCCCTGTTTGTATCCCGACTAACATGCTTGTGTACGCAATTTTATGCGGGAAGAGGAAATCCGTAAACTTAATTTAGCTTGTTTCTCTCAAAAGAGAAAGAAAAATTAATTAGACGTATCCGTTGTTTTCAAATCGCGATACTAATGACGGATACTTTACGACTGATGAGGAAGCACCCGGAAGTGTTCTCTGATTTTGATGATTTAATATTTAATATTTAATTTTATATTTTTTAGATCGAAATAAGGGATACATATTTTTATTCATGTAATGCACTTTTACGAGGTGAAACATTCTTTTGAAAAAAAATTGGTTGTTTTCTTTCGAAGTGAATATCAAAACTGTAAAAGATGGAAAAAAAATTTTTAATAAAAGTTAAAAATGGTTTCAAGAGAATTGTATAATAATAATACAAAATTTGTTTTAAATTTGTATTGTTTATAAATAAACATTTTATTATTTAAATAAATTTTTCAAAATTATTATTATAAAAAATTCTCTAAAAATTGTTTTCAACTTTTATTTCAAAAAAATTTTTCTTTTCAAATCGACGATATTCGAAAGAAAATAACCGATTTTTTTAGTAGAGATATTTCTTTCAACCTCTGGAAGTGCATATAGGCACAAATAAAAAATATGTGTCTTTTATGCGAGTCTACACTGAGAATCCCATTTGGTTAACTGATCTAAAAACAATTTAGTTGAAGGAAAAAATTTGATTATTTTAACAATTTACTTCTGTCATTGAAAACAAGTATAGAATATTACACAATAATTAAACTTTTTGCTTTAACTAAATTATTTTATTGCAATAATCAAGGATTTATTTGACCATATCCAAACAAGAGATTAGTTTAATCAAATGGGATTCTCAATGCAGAATACAACATGTTGAAAGCTCATCAAAATTTGAGAAAGCACGCGATTATCGTCACCATCGTCGTCATTGTCGGATCAGTGTGAGTCTAATAAAGCAAACACAGCTTACGGCTGCTAACTTCGGTAAATTGGATCCATACGACGAATACGACCAGAATATCTAACTTTAGATGTGTTTCCTTGTGAGAAGAACATGAAGCGCTGAATAATATATGTAATACTATTAATAGTATTAATATATGTAATATAAAATATTCCAGATTCACAATATACAATATATACATAGAAAGTATCATTCCTTGCGATATTTCGAGCCGAAAACATTGAGCAATTAATAATTTTCCAGCAATAAATCCAAAGAAAATAAATAGTTGCTGATAAATTAATTTTTTCAGAAAACAAATAACGAGATATTATTCGAGTCGACCAACCTTGAATAAATTTGAATCAACTTTTAAATCCATTATTATAATTTGAATGTAAAAATTTATGAAGTCTTGATTGACATTAAAAAAAAATGAGCACAAATTGATTTGATAAAAATAAGACTTTCCGCTAATTCCGAGTAAGTTGAATGGTCGATGACGTTGTGCGCGATGAATTCGAAATAGAAAGTGTGACTTACCTTTGGCTCCGTCTTCATTTTTTTCGCAGGCGGAGGACTAGCGGCAGTGTCCATCGCTTCCTCGGCGGGGGTCGTGAGCGGTGGACCCGGCACCGCGGCGACCTTGGTCTGTTCCGGTTTGGCCGCCGCGCCGGCCGCCGTGGCGCTCGCCGGACTCGGCGGCGGACAGGGTGCCGCCGCGCTGGTCGCGGGTGGCCCGGGGCCTTGCGACACGGAGAAACCTGTCCTCGAACTGGGCGGTGGTCCCTGGGTCTGTTGTGGCGCCGTGGCGGCCGGCGTTGGGCCCTGAGACTGCGTCGCACCACCGGCCGAATTTTGACCCTGCGGTGTCGGTCGCGCGGTACCGTTCATCTCCGGTTTCGTTTGCTGGGGTGTGTGATTGCTCTGCGGTTTTTCGTGCTTGTCCCGCGCTTTGTCACGCCGATGACCGCTCGAGCCGCGTTTCGAGCCAGCGGTGGAGGAGGGCGCGGCACCAGTGCCGCCAGCGGATGCCGGCGAGTGGCTCGGCTTGGACTTGTTCGACGAAGACGACTGTCCGCCGCCGACCGCGCCGCATTCCGAATTTTGTGAGTTCTGTGTAACCGCGGCCGACGCGGACGTCGAGCCGACGGCCGAGGACGAGGACGTCGAGGAGGCAGCGGTGCCGTTGTTCGAGTCTTGCGACGAGACGGTACCGTTGATCTCGTTCGACTTGACAATCTCGTGTTTGGCTTCGCTGGTCTTCGTACCGGGCTTCGTTCGCTTGATCTTCATCTTGAGGCCCTTGTCGACGGTGGCCGAATGTTCAACGGCCATCTTGCCGGGATTACCGGCGTTAGCGTGGACGGCGTTTACGCCGCTCACGTTCACACCCGACGCTTGCTTATTACCGGTGACTACAGATGCGGTACCGTTTGCGTTACCGGCGCCGTTCGTGCTACCGGTGCCGTTCGCGCTGCCACTGCCGCTCCCGGGGGGACTGTTGGAACGCGTTGAATTCACCCCACAAGAAGAAGACGATGAGGATGAGGATGATGAGGAGGACGACGACAACGACGATGACGAGGACGACGACGACGATTGACTTCCGGCGTTCGTGCCAGTCGACGGGACGGACGAGGACGAGGAGTTTGAGTTGAGACCACTTGCTGAGTTTTGTAACTGATGATGATTCGCGTTATTCGGTGCCGATGCTGCCGAGGCAGGCGTAGAAGCCATGCCTGTCCCCGAGCTCAATTTCTCGTCCCTCGTCTTCTCAATGTCCGCATCAAGATCGATTATCAGGTCACCTATGCCAATGTCCCATTCGTTGTCGTCGTACTCAAAGTTATTGGTCGCATTCGTCGCGACCGAATCCAGTTCACCGGCGTTAGCAGCCACTGTGCTTGCTTTATTAGACTCACGCTGCTGGCCCGACGACGACGACGACGACGACGACGACGATGACAATGATGACTTGTCACGACCCTGATGGTGATGATGATGGTGATGATGGTGGTGATGATGGTGATGGTGATGGTGACGATGATCGCGGTGTTCCCTGCCGATCAGTGTTCTCTCTTGCCTCCTTGACTGACCGCCGTTGGCGTTGTTATTACTTAAGCCGTTGTTGTTGTTGTTGTTGTTGTTGTTGCCGCTGTTACCGTTGCTGGTGTTGCCGTTGCTGCCGTTGTTACCACCACTGTTACTATTACTATTATTACTACTAATACCACCACCACCGATGCACGGAGATGGTCCTTTACGATTTACGTTAGGGAGGCGACCGCCTAGTGGCGTGGTCGCCATGCCCTTGGAAACGTTTCCCCGGCGCCCGCCAGCCTGGTCACCGACTGCCTGCCGTTTCTCACTTTGGATACCGAGTAATAGTAGTGGTAGCGCGCGTGACTACACGCGTTATCATTACCCCGACCACCGCCCGCGAGACGCGCCTCGTCCATCGAACACATCACTTACTCTCTCGCTTCTACTCTCGCTCGACGTAATTCGCGATATATCCCAGCCGTATCTCTCTTCTCTCTCCTCCTCGCGTCTTCCACTTCTTGGTTATCGTGTGTACACCTTATCCACCTTGATTTCTCTCTTCACCACACTTGCCCCTGTCGTTAATTCTTACTCGCGTAGCTGAGACGCGTAACCCGATATATCTCTCACCACTCTTCACCGACGACACACTGATCCCCGACACAACACCACGATCACAGCCACTGAGCCCCCCCCTTAGATCACGAACACACCACCCGACACCACTCGTGATTACTTCCAACGTCGTAGGAAATCTCGGCGACCATCCGCCGTTCTCGGAATCCTGAGACCCGAGGATGGTAGCTCCTCCACCTGTCTCCCACTTGTCGTGAGTTAAGCCATGTCCCCCGAAACGATCCTCCCAGTCAGCCTAGCGTGCGGTTCTTCCCTTCGATTTCCCGACGGAACCGCGCCTCGGCTGATCGACGTGTTTCCGATCTGTAACAACGTAAGTGATTCCCTTCAACGTCGATGTTAAACGTGTAACGATTAATTTATCACAACGGATTAGCTTAAGATTATCTTGTCGAAGCAATCATTCCGGGATGTCTGATTAATATTCACCTGTTATTTATAGATTTCAGCTTCACTAATTATATTTTCATTACATTAATTAATCCTATTTTTACAATTTTACACTCATTAGTATTAAAATTTTACAAGAGTCTTTTTATATTTTTATTTTTAAAAATCTATTATTTATTACTTTTAAGTAATGAGTATCTATAACAAAGAATATATATATATCTTCTTTGTAATAATCTTAAAATATAAATATTTATTACAAATTTAGGAAAAACTCATTATATACAAAAAAAATTTTTTTTTTTTAAAACAAAATTGATCAAAAAAGCAACTTTATATAATAAATAAATCGAATTTAATTTAATAAACCTGATTAAAGTATTAAACTTATTAGAAATATTTTGAATAAATTTAATGCTTTGAAATATATTATATAAACTTTCGAAATACTTGAAATAATTATTATTACTTGCTTATAGTATATACCATGGTATATTATATTTCTGTATATACCGTAAATGCTGTGTATAAGATAGCAATAGATACACGAGAATGGAGCAACTCCATTATAGCAAGGCAAGCACAATCCGTTCCGTTTCTTTTTTTTTTGTAAAACAACGCCGAGACGTGGCGGCACATTCTTAGCTTGATAGTGCCACTCGTCATTAATATGAGACGCATTCCAGTAGCATAATTATTGTTTTAGAAAAAAGACGAGATCATCATCGTTATTTCTCTACAATAATAACCTATCTGCGATATAAATTGTTATACAATCTTGCCATAAACAGATATTGCACTGTTGCAATAATATCTTAGTTAACCCTTATTATTTGCTCTCTTATAAACTAGAACTTATTTTTAAACCTGATATTTAAGAGCGTTCTATCGCAAGGACAGGAAAAAGTATTTTTAATAAGATATTGTATAAATTTTAAACACTCTTCTTTTTTATTTTAATTTCTATTGTTATCTTTTACAGGAAAACAAAATTTTATTCGATAAATTCAAAAATACCAACAGTAATTTGTGAAAATTAAGTTAACTTTGTTTAGAACGTTTCGATAATATTGTACATGCATTCACTTTAAAAAATATAGATAGTAGATTTAACATCATGGGTGTTAAATTCTCATCGTGTTGATGTTTCATCAACACCAACATGGTGAACTGAATATTATGTTGGTGTTGAATTATTTAAACTAGTATTACATCCTTACCATCTTGGAGTTTATATCAACATCAACACGATGAGAATTATATAAACACTGGCATGATGTTAAATCCACACTTATATGTTTTAGAGTATTTTTAAGTAATTAATTAACAATCGTGAAACAATGGTAAAGGCAAAATTCGTTGTTTTGGGGGAAAATATGCTATATATTCTTTAAAAAAGTGAGAAAATCTTGCGGAGTAAGCGATTCAGAATTGTGTAGTAAAATTAGAAGACCGAGACAAAAGTATCTTACGAGCTACGATAGACAGGAGGGCGCGGTCGCCCGTTTGAGACTCCAATTAATTTGACAGCATTAATTTGGCGTCGCGGCTGGTCTACTCGAAAGACTACGCGCGTCACTTTGTAGTCACATTGCTTTCATAAACAATGCTCGATAGCCAGATAAGTCTTCAGGAGCACTTGGCCAGCGGCCAGTAACCAGCGAAACGCGCGCGCGTTGCTCGCCGGTGTTCTCCTGGGAGAACTCAAGAACGAGTCGAGAGCCAGCGTAAACCGGGTTGTTAGCTTCGATATAACGACATGTTTAGAGACCCGCTCTACCCACCCGCTTCCTCCTCCTCTTCCTCTCCACCTTCCGGCTTTCACCCCGGGCGCGCGACGTGGTGCAACCTCCTCGTCTAGCCCTCCGGGACGTTCTCTCTTTCTCTGCCTGCCCCCCCCCCCCCCTCCTT